CTGGATTCCCTGTGTTTCCAGTTCCTATCTGTACCAGTGTACATCCTCTGGTCTAGCCAGACTTGCAAGGTAGAATTCAGATCATGATAGTGTATCCCACCTATTTTATCTAGATCAACCTGCAGACATAATAATATGCACAAATAAACAAGACAGAACAAAACAAAACAACAAAAAAACCAATGACAAGAAAGGAAAAAGAAAAAGAAAAGCCTGCAAATTGTTCAAGGTCTGTTTGTTGACCTTTAGGAGTGTTTTCTGGTAGAATCTGATGGGGTGCCACACCCTGGCCCCAAAGTCTATTTTGGTACTCCTTCAGGACTTCCTTGCTCTTGCTCCCCTTGCTGTTCTGTTGCATGCCCCGGTGTGGTGGGGTTAGATGGGGCACAATTCCCACACTGTGTTTCCAGTGTGTCCCCCGTAGGGCTATGGGTCAGTAAGGGATGTTGTGTCTCATAGTGGCACCTGCCATGTGGTCTTCTCTCTGCATTGGCTGCTCTGAGGAAGGATATCATCCTCAAGGCTTGGTGGGCCAGGATGTACTCCACTCTCTCTTCCTCCCCCTTCATTTGCTGCTGTGTGCTCTGATCGGACATGTGCCTGTCTCTGAGCTGTAGCTTCAGTGCTTCCTCTGCAGTGAATTCTTCTGTGGGGAGGTGGAGGGGGGATGGGGCTGTCCACATAGTTGAGATTGGTGTCGGCCCCTCAGACCTCTCTATTGGTTCCCTGCTTCACTGCATTTATATCTTGGAGCACCAGGTTGAAGTCTGGTCCCTCCCCTACAACAAGAGATTTTTTAAAATCTCATCATCTGACATAATTTTAACCCAGATATTTAGGGTGTCTGCAATGCAGTACAGTGCTTTGCATCTTGTTTTATAGTACATCAGCAATAAGGGTTAAAAGACTAAATCCTCAGAGCCAAAAATTTGGAAAAGAGAGAGGGACTATAACCGTGTCATAGGTAGAGAAAATGAGAGATGTATGTCTATTTCAAGGAAGATATTCTTTAATCTAGACAAGTAGAGTCGACCCAGAAAAGAGTTGTTAAAGTCTTTATAATATGGGGGGGGGAGTCTTTATTATAAAGCCAGTATGAGTTATTCCTGATTCTAAAATAATTAAGGAGGAAGATGGGTTAAAAAAAAATCTACTTCAGTGAATGTGGGTTCTATAGCAAAGTGTGGTGAAGAAATCAAGTAATGCCTATCCGAAAGAATAGTGTCTGGGGTCTTAAAAGGTTGTCTTAAAACAAGCAGCCATCTAAAAGGAAGTGTTAGCTAAGTCCACAACCGAAAAAGCAAAACAACTTTCGTGATACAAGGATTGTAAATAATAGAATTCAAGAACAGAGGAGGGAATTATGTCAGAACTTAAATTCTGAACAGTGTTATACAGAAGGCTATGGATGACATGAAAGTCTAAAATCTGTTTGCAAAGTCACCAAGAGGATTAAGCTTCTAGTGAATTCCCTTGGATCATTGGGCAGTGCTGTGAATGGTCTTGCCCTCAAACAAAGTGCATTGGAAAGTGAATTGCTGAAGATAATAAAAATAACAAAAACTCACTGACGTCTGGTTGATGTCACTCATAATTACCCTATAGGAATGAAGAGGACTGCCTCACTGCCTCTCTGGGTTTCGGAGTCTGTAACTGTTTATGGAATAAAAAGTCATCTTTCTACCATAGTGACTGGTGGTTTCAAACTGTTGACCTTGCAGTTAGCAGCTCAGCCCAATACATAATGACTACATTACCAGGACTCCTCTTGAAGATGTTTTTGTTAGGTGCCATTGTGTCCGTTCCAACCCATATCAACCTTAGCACAACAGAAGGAAACACTGTCTGGTTCTACACCATCACCATAATTGTTCCTTTGCTTAAGCCCATTGTTTTAGCCACTGTGTCAATCCATCACATTGAGGTCTTCCAATCTGCTGCCCCTGTACTTTACCAAACATGATATCCTCCAGGGACTGACTGGTCTCTCCTGACAACATGCCCAAAGTATGTAAGATGAAGTCTCACCATCCTTGCTTGTAAGGAGCACTCTGGCCACACTACTTCGAAGACAGATCTGTTTGTACTTGTAGCATGCCATGGTACTTTCAGTATTCTTCTCCAGCACCACAATTCAAATGCATCAATTCTTCTTTGGTCTTCCGTATTCAATGTCCAACTTTCACATGCATGTGAGGTAATGGAAAACATCATGGCTGGAGTGAGGCATGCCTTGGTCCTTAAAGTAACATCCTTGCTTTTCAATACTCTAAAGAGGTCTTGTGCAGCAGATTTACCTAATGCAACTTGTCTTTGATCGCTTTCCTAAGCATTGATTGTGGACCCAAATAAGACAAAATCCTTGACAACGTCAACCTTTTGTCCATTTATCATATTAACTACCCGTCCAATTGTAAGTCATAATCCGCACTGAAAGCTGCAATCCTTGATCTTCATCAGCACGTGCTTCAAGTCCTCCCCTCACTGAGCAAACAAGGTTGTATCATCTTCATACCACTGGTTGTTAATAAGCCTTCTTCCAATCCTGATGCCACATTCTCTTCTTTTAATCCAGTTTCACTGATGATTTGGAGATACAACCCTGTTACATACCTTTCCTGATTTTAAACCATGCAGTATCCCCTCATTCTTTTCTCACAACCGCCTCTTGCTCTATGTAGAAGTTCCACATGAGCACAATGAAGTGTTCTGGAATTCCCATTCTTCTCAAGGTTATCCACAGTTTATTATGGTCCACACAGTTGAATGCCTTGGCATAGTCAAATTAACTCAAGTAAGCATCTTTCTGATACTCTCTGCTTTGAGATAATGATACCTTTTTTCCACATCCTCTTCTGAATCCATCCTGAACCTGTTAGCTCCCTGTCAGTGTACTACTATGACCGTTGTTAGATGAACTTTAGCAAAGTTTTACTGGCATGTGATAGTAGTGATACTGTTGTATAATTTCAGCGTTCTGTTGTGTCCCTTTTCTTTGGAATGGGCACAAATATGGATCTCTTCCAATCAGTCGGCCAAAGAGCTGTCTTCCAGATTTCCTGGCATAAACGAGTGAGTGCTTCCAGGTCTTGAACAGCTTATTAAAACATTTCAGTTGGCATTCCATCAATTCCTGGAGCATTGTTCTTAGCTAATGCTTTCAGTGCAGCTTGAATGTCTTTCTTTAGCATTGGTTCTTGTTCATATGCTCCCTCCTGAATGGTGGAAGATTTACAGGTTCTTTTTGGTACAGTATTCTTTCCGTCTCCTTTTGATGCTTTTTGCATCATTCAATATTTTGCCCTTAGAGTCTTTCAAGGTTGCAACTCAAGGCTTGAATTTTCCCTTGAGTTCTTTGAGTTTCAGAAATGCTGAGCATGTTCTTCCCTTGGGCATTTCTAATTCTAGGTCTTTGCACATATCAATATCATTTTTGGTTTTGTCTTCTCGAATTTCCCTTTGAAATTTTCTATTCAGTTCTTTGACTTCATCATCCCCCCCCCATTTGCTTTAGCTACTCTACAATTAAAAGCAAGTTTCAGAGTCTCTTCTGACATCACTCTGATCTTTTCTCACTTTCTTGTCTTTTTAATAACCTTTTGCTTTCCTCTTGAATAGTGTTCTTGTCATCCCCCAGCTCACCAACTCCTCTGTCATTAGTGTTCAGTGCATCAGATCTTTCTTGAGATGTCCTCAAAATTCAGGTGAGATAGACCTGAATAGGTCATATTATGGATTCGTTTTCATTTTCTTAAGTATTGTCCTGAACTCGCATATGAGAAATTGATGGTCTTTACCTGTCAGCCACTGGCCTGGTTCGAGCTGCTGATACTGAGCCTCCATTGTCTCTTCCCATAGATGGAGTCAGTTTGATTTCTGTGTATTCTATCTGGAGAAGTCCATTTGTGTAGTCACTTTCTTATTGTTGAAAAAACGTATTTGCTCTGAACATGTTATTGGTTTTGCAAAATTCAATCTTGGGATTTCCAGCTTAGTTTCTATCACCACCAGGTCCATATTTCTACTACTGTTCCTTCCTCTTTGTTTCCAACTTTTGCAGTCTAATTGCAAATAATTATCAATGCATAATTATTGGTAATTTGAAATCATTATCAATAATTATGAGTTATTGATAATAGTGAAAAGTGTTTGCATGTTTGATCAATTTTTGACTGAAGTCGTTTATAGAATTCTTCAATATCCTCACTAGCTTTTGGTGGTGGTGCATAAAATTGAATAATAATTGTATTATTTGGATTTCCTTGAAGGCGGATAGATATAATCCTAACACAGACGGCATTGTACTTCATGATTGAGTTTACAATGTCCTTTTTTGACAATGGGTGCCACACCAATCCTCCTGATTGTGTTATTACCAGCATAATAAATCATATGATTTTCTGATTCACAATGGCTAATGCCAAACCATTTCAGTTCACTAATGCCTTGATTATCAATCTTCATACATTCTATTTAATTTTGACCATTTCCAATTTTCCTAAATTCATACTTCACACATTCCAAGTTCTGATCATTAGCAGATTTTTGCAGCTGTTTCTTCTGACCATGAGTCTTGCCCCATCAGCAAATGAAGATCCCGAAGCTCCACTCCCCCAGGCTTCACCTGACTCCTGTCACCGTGGTTGACTCCAGTCCAAGAAATCAACTTCTCCTTAGTCACATTTTGAGTTCCCTCCAACCTGAGCATCCCACCCTGCAGCTCTGTCTCTGATAAGCAACTGCTTTCATTCATTAGGCTTCAGTATCTGACAGTGCTTCAAAGCTCTTTTCTCTGAAGTGGGGAGCTAAGTCTTTCTTTGTTATCTGTTATTAGTCTGGAAGCTCAGCTGGAACCTGTTCCCTTTGACCTTGCTGGTATTTGAAATGCCAGTGACATAGCTTCCAATATTACAGCAACATACAAGCCAACACGGTATGACAAATTGACAGACAAGTGGTAGAATTCAGATATAGCTAGGTTAAAATTTAACACATTATTTGTTATCCCTTTTGACATTTTAAATTTGTTCTAGTTTTCATTATTTTCTGCTTTCTTTGGGTTGAGGTTTTTCTATGTTTTACTTTATTTTGATTGTTGGGGGTAGTTTCTCTATGATTTTCTCTATATGAAATCCAGAATAGATAAATATATATAGATAATAACTAAATAGTTTCTTAGGGTTATAGCTTAGGAAACTGGAGGTGGGAGAAAGAGGGAACTAATAATAATGAGCACAAAAATGAAAAAAGAAAGTGCTAAAATTGATTGTAATGATGAAGGCCACCCCAGTTTAATATGGAGCCATTGTGGTTAGTGGTTACATTGGGCTGCACGGTCAGATCAGCAGTAGAAAACCAGCAGCCCCGTCTCGGGAAACTTTCCACTCTGTAACGGGTTAGAGTCTTGGAAGCCCCAGCGGCAGTTCTGCCTGATCTTTGTCGGGTCTGCTATGAGTCCGAATCAACTCGGTGACAGTGAGGTTTTTTTGTTGGTTTTGTTTTGGTGGGTGGGACGGGTGGTGGTGAGGTTTAATATAGTCAAACCCAATGAATTACAGGGTATGTGAATCAATTCAACTGTTTTTTTGTTTTGTTTTGTTTTTAATTATTTTCAGTGACTCACTATACAGTGGTTTTATAAGTGTCTCTCTCTGCCCTTCTTATCAATTTCTTCTCCACCTGAGAAGGAGAAAACAAAATCCGATAGGAAGATAAATCCAGTTCTGCTAGGGATAGCACTGATATTCATACAGACTACAGATTTATACCTTGCTGTTCAAGGGAATTCAACCACACTTTTTTTTAATAGCCACAAATTTTCACAAGTGTTTCCAATTTATAAGAAATTGTAATTTATCAAGGCAGTAAAGCTTGTCTTCTCCTGTGCCATGAAAATATAATTTCATATTGCCCTTCTATTGGCCAGGGTTACTTGATAAATAATTCAGTGGTTTAAAGTGTGAAAGATATTTAACAATAACAGTAGAACAAGGGCTTTTCATGGGAACTTGAATATTCTGCCCGATTTGTTATTTTTCTTCTCTGGATTATCAGAAATAACCAGTGTCAGTTTATAGATGTCTTTGATCTAAAGCAGAAATGTAAAGCTTGAAAGAGTGAGTGAGTGTTAAGTGCTTTGTCTTAGGACTTTGCCTTTGTACTCTTGTCCTAAATGATAATTCTTGTGTGGGGCTCAATTTATGATTCAGATGGAACCTTTGAGGGTTAATCAACATCAATTGTGTCCTATCCACTGCTGGCTTTCAGAACTGTGCCAAGTGCTGTAACTGTTGAGTTCTTTTCCACGCAAGGTTATCCATAGGACTTACATCTTTGCTTTTGCTGCTGTTCTTCAGGCATATTCAGAACATGAGTGAGATCAAGACTGACGTTGGACGAGCTCGCGCATGGATAAGATTGTCTCTAGAAAAGAAGCTCTTGTCCCAGCATCTCAAGCAGTTGCTGTCTAACCAGCCGCTCACCAAGTAAGAGCTCTCCCCTTGAGACAGGCCTGTTCGATGACCTATGTGCTTGCAGAGTGACCTATAGAAAGTGGCAGACGTGGCTTCTTTAGTCTGCATCGCTGACCCCTGAGTCACAGGATTCTCTCCTTCCAAGCATATGTGAGCTTCGGAAACCACATGTCTTGATGTGATACTTGATCTTGCTGGTAAGGTACAACAGATTGCACAGCCAAAGACTAGATTGTTCCCTTCTGATCAAAAAAGAAAAAGATAAAAAGCTAACTAGTCAACACAAGCTAATAGTTGCACTATGCAAACCTTATTGTAAGAGTCACAACAAAAACCTGGAGTAGCCACCCCCCCCCCAAAAAAAAAATTTTTTTAACAACTAATGATAATAACCCCCAGTAGTAACACCTTCTGGGAGTTACCAGTGCTTCCACTCATTAAGTGTAGAGCTAGTAAACATCAAGTCTGCACCAGTTAATTGTCAACCTTTTTGATGATTTCCCTTCAGTCTATCAGGAAGGCCTCTCAGATTAAACTAATCACCCATATAATACGTACATTGGTGCTAACTTGTAGGCTGAGGACTTTGTGGTCCCAAGAGCAAAAAGTATGGAAAGAATTCAGCAAAGACCTCAAGCATGGTAGTCTATCAGACTCTAGTCCTGGAAACCCAGTTCTCTGAAGTTTTGCATTTGTAAGTATCATTTTAGGAAGAACATTAATATACAAAGTATAGGTCAGATAAAGAATGCTGTGGTAAAGTATAACCTGTGAATCTGACCTTGTTCCCTTGAAAATTATTTGTTTTCCATGGGAGAGGGGGAGGCAGGCGAAAGGAAGTGGGTGTTAACAAACCCAGGGACAAGGGAACAACAAGTGATTTAAAAATCAATGGCAAGGAGGCTATAGGAGGCCTGGTAGGGCTTGATCAAGGGCAGTGTAACCAAGAGGAATCACTGAAACCCAAATGAAGGTTGAACATGATAGTGGGACAAGAGGAAAGTCAAAGGACATAGAAGAAACAACTAGGAGGCAAAGAGCATTTATCGAGGTCTAAATACAGGCATGTACATATGTAAATATATTTATATATGACAATGGGGAAATAGATCCATGTGCATATATTTATAGGTTTAGTATTAATGTAGAGAAATGGACATTGGGCCTCTACTTAAGTACTCCCTCAACGCAAGTACACTTTGTTCTATTAGCCTGGCATTCCATGATGCTCACCCTCCCAACATGATCGCTGAAGACAAAGCGGGTACATAAGCAAATGGTGAAGAAAGCTAATGGTGCCCGGCTATCAGAAGATATAGCATCTGGGGTCTTAAAGGCTTGAAGATAAACAAGTGACCATCTAGCTCAGAAGCAACAAAGCCCACATGGAAGAAGCACACCAGCCTGTGGGATCACGAGGTGTGGATAGGATCCGGTATCAAGCATCAAAAGATCCAGAACAACAAATCATGTCATTGTGAATGAGGGGGAATATGGAGTGGAGACCCAAAGCCAATCTATAGACAGTTGGACACCCTGTTACAGAAGGGTCACAGGGAGGAGATGAGCCAATCTGGGTGCAGTATAGCACTGATGAAACATCCAACTTTCCTCTAGGTTTTTAATGTTTCCTCCCCCCACTATCATGGCCCTAATTCTACCGTACAAATACAGCTAGACCAGAGCATGTACGTGGGTACAGATAAGAGCTGGAAACACAGGGAATCCAGGACAGATAAACCCCTCAGGACCAATATTGAGAGTAGCCATACCAGGAAGGTAAGGGGAAGGTGGGGGTAGATAGGGAGAACCAATCACAATGATCTACTTATAACCCCCTCCAGGGGGATGGACAACAGAAAAGTGGGTGAAGGGAGTCATTGGTCAGTGAAAGACGTGAAAAAAAAAAATTTATAAATTATCAAGGGTTCTTAAAGGAGGGTAATGGAGGGAGGGGGAAAATATGAGAAGCTGATAATAAGAGCTCGAGAAGAAAGAAAATGTTTTGAGGATGATGGCAACAAATGTGCTTGACACGATGGATGGATAGATTGTGATAAGAATTGTACAAGCCCCCAATAAAATGATTTTTTTAAATGATTTGTTTTTCTGATTAGTAAACTCATTCATGCTCTTTGTGCAAAAATTACAAAGAAATAGATGATAATCATCTATAATCCTACTGCATAAAGATGAATACTTAGTATTTTTCAAGTTTTGTTCTGTACTTTATATGTGTTCTTTTAGTTGACATTTTACTATATTTACATTTGCATCTCTGGACATTTATCTATACCATAAGAGTTTACGTTTTGACGTCAATGTCTGTGTTTAAATATCCCCAATCCCTAATTAGCAGCATGGTTAGGTTCCAAAGACTAGGCTGTTAGGCAGAATCAGCGTTCTGCCGGGAAGAAAAACTCTGAGAACTGTGCTGCTGGGAACCCCTGCACCTGGTTGCCTGACTAGAGACACACTTGGTGGCTCTCGGGCTCCAGCAACTGGCAGTGCCAGGGGTCCAGATGGGTAGTAGGGTTGCTGCCTGTGCCTATGCCCCGGCAGCTGCCCCCTGTGCAGTCTCACCTGCCTGCTGTCACCACTTAGGCCAAAGAAAACCCCTCAAGAGCATGTGATGCCCTGCTGCTCCTTGAGGGGTTGGAATTTGAGCCTGAGCGTCTGGAAACTAATAGCTGCTCAGAAGAGGAGCTCGCCTCCCAGGCTGTGGGGAGGAGAGGGCACCCTGCTTCTGTAGCGCCTGGGACCTGAATTGCCACTTACCTTCCTGCTGAGGGACTTGGCCCCTCCAGGTTGCTTGAGTGGACGGGAGCAGCAGCAGCCTCGGTGCCCCGACCTCCTCCTCAGCCATGCGCAGGCCCTTCTTAGAAGTACTCCCTCCTAATCCCCCTGGGTCACCACTGTGACACAAGCTTGCAGTGGTGAGGATGGGATTTTGAAAGAGGGCTTTGGCAGCCTCCTGACTGTTTCAGCTGTGAGTTTGACAGATAGAGGTGACTCTTAGGAGCTGGAGCTGGACGTGGGGAGGAAACCGGGCTAATGTGTAAAAGAGATTTGTTTAAATAGTCATAAATGTGAATTGTTGAATAATAAGAAAGTAGTGAGAAGTAGGTATATTACCTTTACTAGTTGAGTGTCCTGGGATAAGATACAGGGGAGTACTGCCCTCCTCCAAAATGGAAGAAAGCTCCACTGGGCGGAGCTTTCATGGTATGCATTTTTCCCACTAGGTGAGCATCAGAGAAAAGTGTGTGGCTGTGAAATTTTGTTTCCTACTTAGGGAAAAATGCCACAGAAACTGCAGTGATATCAAACTCAGCTTACAAGGACAGCACTATGGGAAAAACTCAAGTGTACAAGTGGTTTTCTTGTTTTTAAAAAGTACAGGTGAAATGTCAATTGATGGCAAATCTCATTCTGGACATCTGTCAACTTCCCAAACAGACAAAAATGTTGACAAAATTCACGCACTTGTGCTCAAAGGCCGACAATAGAGATGGAGAAGTTATCTGTACTATCTTGGAGCTCAGCTCAGCAAATTTAACGGACGATTTGGGTATGAGAAGGATTGCTGTGAAATTTGTGCCTCAGGTCTGACTGACCAGGAAGAAGAGCATCAAGTGGAAACATGCTGTGCTCTGCAGCCACCCAGACTTTTTTTCCAAAGTCATTACTAGTGTTGAGATATGGTGCTATTTTTAGGACCCTGAGAGCAAACATCAATCAAGCAAGTGGGAGACGCCATTGTCATCTCACCCAAAAAAAGCTGGTCAAGTGAAATCAAAGATGAAGAAGATGCTCATTAAGTTTTTTGATGTGAGGAGGAGAGTGCATTTGGAGTTCATTCCACCAGGTCAGACTGTTAATCAAGCTTTCTACAAAAAATTGTGTAGCAGTGTGTGTGCGACAAAAAAAGGCCTGATTTGTGGCAGATGGGGGAACTGGTTTTGCCACCAGAGCAACACACCTGCTCACATAGTCATCTATGTCAGTGCACCAGTTTTTTGGCAAAAAACAGCATGCCTCTCTTGCCCCATGCACCTTACTCACCTGACCTTGCTCTGTGCAACTTCTTTTTGTTTCCATGAATGATGAGGCACATGAAAGGACAGTGATTTGACAATGTAGAAGAGATGAGGAAAAGAACAAGGGAGGTGCTGTCAGCCATCCAAACAGATGAGTTTGAAAAATGTTTCCAAGAATGGAATCACAGATTCGAACAATTTATTAAGTGTAAGGGAGAATACTTTGAAGGTGATAAGGTTGTTTTGTTAAAAAATTTAAATATGGAAGGGGAGGCCACACCTAGGGAGGTACATGAGAGTCCAACATAAGGAAGGGGGAGGGGGGCAGGTGGAGGGAGAAGTGGGGTGGGGAGAAACTGAATTGATGGCACAGGGGGAACAGGGCACTAACCCACCCAGGGAGAAAGTATTGGTTGTGTCCCCACAGAACTGGAATGTGCATACAGACTCCACCATGACACGCCAAACCAGTAGGGCAACATAACGCATGGAGGAATCCACAAAGAGACTGGACCATACGCCGGCCCTAACCAGAATCAGTCTGACCCCCACCATGGAAGGGAGTACCACAGAAAATGAAAATAGATCGTCTGGTG